CCTTGTGTGTTTGACCAGGTTTGCTTTTTCAAAAAAATTGCCAAAAAAGGAAATTTTTAGGAAAAAGGAGGATCAGCGAAAAGAGTTTTTACAAAAGCTAAACTTTTCAGGAAAACATCAAAACTATATAAAGATAATAAATATATAAAATATGATCAAAGAAAATCCAATATATATCTGTTCATCTGCCAAATACACTGGGATATAATGGATAACTTTTTTATTGAAACTATAAAAAAAACTGTTACAAAATTTAATGAACATAATGAAACTAAAGATACTTTGACAAAGTATACAAACAACACTACTTTATATTACAAATAATACTTAGAAATTGTTATTCAAAGTGATATTCTAAAAAAAATAATCAAGATAATTGGTGAGCTAATTCCTAATTGAAATATATGAAAAGCATGTCTCCAATAACCCATTCAAAAAATCATTAAACATCTATAAGAAATATGGCACAAAAGATATAAAAACTTTTAAAACTGTAAAAACAATAAGGCATTATAAGAGCTATAGAAAAGCTTCACAAATACAGTACTACCATATCAGATCTATGGATAGAAGAGAGAAAAAAATATATAAAAGAACAATTTATTAGTATAATTAATAAACATATTCACAATAGTATTAAATCAATTACAACTCCTTACTATTTATTGAAAATTTTATATAGTACTAGTCCAGTTTTGACAAGTTAGTTCCCCTTAATAGATAGCAATCAGTCACAAAATAGGTTATCCTTATTGAGCTTTATTTGATAAACAAATGTAATCATAATATAAATATATATAACTTTCTACTAAATTCAAATAAAATAAGGCTGAGCTAGTGAAAAATAAATAAATAAATAAATAAATAGTTTATTATTATAAATTATTTCAAAAAATAATAAATTGCTTAATTATATATTAGAAAAAAAAAATAATTTAACATTCTTCAAAAGGTTTTTATTCAAGTAAACAATCTTTTCTCAAAAAGGATTTGTCTGCTTAAGATATTTTCCAAACTTCAAGCTATCTAAAGAACTTAACTATTTTTAAGTATAAAGACTTCAAGAAGAATATTTGAAAAACTTATTCTTTTACTAATGTATAGATTTGCTTATTGCATTGATGTCCGTACCATATTATAGCAAAGTTAACCTAATTAAAATAAAGAAGTTTTTATAAAAACTTTGCTTAACTAAAATAGAAGCTTAGAAATCTTGGCATTTTTTTTGAAAAAATTTTTTCATCACCTAAGAAACTTTTTAAAAGATTGTAATATAATAGTTTATATTTTTTATTTGTTGTTTGATATCATAATTGTCTTTCTTAAAAACTCAGTTAAAGATATCTTTTATAGACTTTTCTTTTTAATTATTAATAATATCATTGAAATATATAAGTACAGTATAATCAATAAAAACTTATTTATATTTTAAAAACTAATATATTTTATATATTATAAAATAGAAATAATTTTATAAAATTATTAAAAAAAAAAAATTTTTTTTTTAAACTATAACTAGATATTAAATATATGATTTTTATTAATTATTAAGTTATGAGCTATTATATTAATTATTTTATATATATTATATATTTATATATATATGTAAATTAATAATTATCTATTATAATTAATTTAGTTAAACCAGCTTGAATTTTATGAATAGATGGATTTAGTTAAGGACTAGATAGTAAATACTTAATTATTTACAATAAGTTTTAATTAATTAATATGGAGTTTTATAAATTTTTATTATTTTATTAAGCTAATTTGATTATATATATATTTAGTGAATTTTATATATTTTTTAATATATTTAAATATTATTTATTTAGAATTTAGAAAGGGATATACTTAAAAATTATTTACTTAGATTTTAGAAAAAAACATGGTATTTTCTTTGCTATTATCTATAATATTGCATCAATTTTTATTGATCAATTTTTATTTAAATAAAGTATTTGATTGAAATATTTTAAATTAGAAGAGTAAAATTTTTGAAGTCTATCAAAGACAAAAAAATTTATAGAATATTTATAGAAGTCAGATTAAAAACCTTTCTTTATATAAGTCTTTCAATAATATGACTATAAATTTTAACTTTTAATCAATAAAAGATTAGAAATTTTATCTTTATGCAACTTAACTTTGTTTATATGATAAATTCAAATAATTGAATATAATTTTTATAAAATAATCAATAAATTCGAATAAAAATTTTTTGATATTTAAATGATATTGAACTATAGATCTTTTGATTGTGACCTTGAAATACTATTACTATACTATTAATCTATAGATCAATTACTAGAAATTTTTAAAAAATATTGAATATTATTAGATAAAAAAAAAAAAAAAACAAACAAAAAATTCAAGTTTTTTCTTTAATGACAAAACATTAAAAAATTAGAAATAATATAAAATTTAAAAAATTATTAAAAAGATCATAAGTGCTTAAATAATAATTAAATGATTTAAATGATTTGATTTTTAATTGTAAAAAGATCTACAATAATGGATTATAGATAATGATCTAAATAGTTAAAAAATAATTCAAGTCACAAAGGAAACAAATATAGCAATTTATTTACAATAAAAGATAAGCTATATTAATTTGACTATGAATTCAAAAATAAAAATAAAAATAAAATTATATTCTATAATTATATTTGATTTTGATTATAGATAAAGTGCAAAAATTTTTAAACTTGATTTTATTTTAATTTTCATAATATATTTTTATATTTTATTCTTCTTTTATTAATTAAAATTCAAATAAATGGTTCGTATACACAAGTGTAAATGTTTATGGTTTGTTTATAATGTTTTTGCAAATGTATTTTTTTTTATCAAACTATCAAACTATCAAACTTGATGTTTATAAAATTAATATGACTATTAGTAAAATTCTGTGAAATGAAATCGACGAATCGAGGTTGTCAAATTCATTCGAGATATAAAAGTACACTGCATCAGCTTACTTTCTGGTCTGGCCAACAGGTTTTGTCACGCCAAAGCCCGCGCTTGTAAAACCGATCGCATACATACCAAAAATGTAACACTTATGTCGATCATTTGCTATCAAAGTATATAAGGACTCAATTCCGAAATCCTTCTTGGGTCAATTCTCGGCATACGTCTATAGATAATTTTCGGGATACGTCTATAGATTATATATAGATTATATAACATCTTAAGGTGTTTGGCGAGCATCAAAGCAGAAGGATAAGATATCCGTACTTTTTGTAGACAATAATGGTCGGTGAAGTTATCTCAAACTTCGTTAGCTAGGTAATTCGCATTCAAAATAATCTTTTTTCTTTCCTAAAATAAAGCCACCAAAAAAAGTTATCAATCAAGCGTAAAGGTGGCGCAGATAAAAATGCGAGGAAGAAAATTGAGAAGGCCGATTGGAAAGAGGGCTTCAAGAAGAAACAAGTTGGAGTTTCAGACATGACCATGTTGAGTAAGGTTAACAACGATGCGATCAATGAAAATTTGAAGAAACGATTTGAGAATCATGAGATCTATGTATGTAATTTTGTAATTATAAGGACTAATGTCTCACGTTTAGTCGAGGTTGAATTGGTGTGAGGGTTATTATTAAATCATATACTAAACTGTTCGATCGTACTTTTTTTTTTTCTTTTTGAGCACAGACCTATATTGGGCATGTGTTGATAAGCGTGAATCCTTTCAAGGATCTAGGAATATATACGGATGAGATTTTAAAGAGTTATACCGGAAAGAACCGTCTTGAGGTGAAATCAATATTAAATTAATTATCATGTTTAGATGACAACCGTGATAGTATAGCTGCTAAATAATCTCGAAGTTTTTAGATGCCTCCACATGTATATGCGGTTGCCGAGTCATCTTATTATCATATGAATAGTTACAAGGAGAATCAGTGTATTATCATCAGGCAAGATGACAAAAATTTTTTCTTATCCTTTGTTCATTAATTAGACTTTCAAAGGCTTATCATAATTTTTTTCCCCTACTAAATAGCGGTGAATCTGGGGCTGGAAAAACTGGTGTGTAAACTACCATGATGATTCTCAGTTTTCTGTGCAATCGAATCAAATCTAATTAACACTAATCTTAGTTTTTCATTTGCATCACAATTTTATACAGAGGCTGCGAAGAGAGTTTGTATCTTTTTGCATTATATCAAGTCAATCATAATTATTTGCGTATTAAATCTAATATTCAATAAAGATCATGCAATATATTGCGACTGTGAGTGGTGGAAGGTCATCTTCAATTCAAGAGATCAAAGAGATGGTTTTGGCCACCAACCCTCTACTAGAAAGTTTTGGTTGTGCTAAGACTCTTAGGAATAATAACTCAAGTCGTCATGTATGTGGCATTTGATATTACGTTGTGAATTTACTTGGGTCCTTAGAAAGAAACATAAATGATCTTCATTTTCGTGTGCATTGCATTTTCTCATTTTAATAGGGTAAATATTTGGAGATCCAGTTCAACCTCAGTGGCGAACCAGTTGGTGCAGTGATTACTAATTATTTGTTGGAAAAGGTAGATCCATATAGATTGATATCACATAATGTTCATTAATGCAGAAGGTTCATTTGTTTTTATTATTGTTGTATTGCTAAATTTTGTGGAAATAATTAATTCTCTTTCACAGGGTCGTGTTGTTGGCCAAATCGAGAACGAGCGTAATTTCCATATTTTCTATCAATTCACCAAAGCAGCATCCGATGAATATCGAGGTTTGCGATTTTTTCTGCATTGGAGTTTGTGGTTGATATTCACGATCAACTTATAGATATTTTTTTTTTGTCTCGTGTATGTAGAACAATTCGGTATTCAGGGGCCCGAAAGTTACTTGTATACCAGCAAGAGTCAATGTTTAGATGTAGACGGAATCGATGATGCTAAAGATTATTCAGATACTCTGGTTTGTGGTCATTTACTTATTAATAGCTTCAACGCCGTCAAAGTCAGATCATTTATCACGCATTACTTTTTAGGATGCGATGAATGTCATTGGCCTCACGGAAGCTGAGCAGTTTGATATTTTTAGGATGTTGGCTATAATTTTATGGTTAGGAAATGTTGAATTTGAAGAAGATGATAATGGAAATTCGGCCATTAGCGATGAGAGCGGTAAATTATACCTTCATCAATAGTTAGTTCATCATGGGCGCGTTTCAAGTGATCGCTTTTTGTTAACGTGCGGTATCCCCCACTATAGTCACGAATTTTATCGCTTACATAATGGAGGTTGACGAAGACGCGTTGAAAAAGGTGTGTTGATTTACGATCGAGCATTATATTAAATTGTGAGGTATAATTTCTCATTACCTCCCCCCCCCCCGTATGTTTTTTGACAGGTTTTGACTAGTCGTATGATCGAGACAGCACGTGGTGGGCGTAGAGGTTCGGTGTACGATGTCCCACTGAATCTAGTTCAGGTATTAATTATATCATGCTTTTTATACGTCTTTCTTGACCCGGTCATAATCCAATTATCAATTATATATTTGTCGAAAGGCCTCTGCCGTGCGAGACGCCCTTGCAAAAGCAATTTATAACAACCTGTTCGAATGGATTGTGGATCGCGTAAACTCTGCTCTACGTTCTCGAACTGCTTCGTCTTATGTTATCGGTGTTCTTGACATCTATGGTTTTGAAATCTTTGAGGAGAATAGTTTTGAGCAATTGTGTATCAACTATGTCAACGAGAAGCTTCAGCAAATTTTCATCGAGCTCACTCTCAAGACCGAACAAGAGGAGTATGTCAGAGAGAAAATTAAGTGGACGCCTATTGAGTTCTTCAATAACAAAATCGTCTGCGATCTTATTGAAGAGAAACGTCCGCCAGGAATCTTTGCTGCGTTGAATGACGCGTGTGCCACTGCCCACGCGGATTCGAGTGCTGCAGACAATTCTTTTGTACAGAGACTTGGATCCCTGAGCTCTAACCCTCATTTCGAGTCAAGAGGAAGCAAGTTCTTGATAAAGCATTACGCAGGTGATGTGTACTATTCTATACCCCAGATGACCGACAAGAATAAGGATCAGCTGGTGAAAGATTTGTTGGAGTTGATAGCAGGCAGTGGCAATCAATTTTTGAATAAGATTTTCCCACATCAGGTTGATCGAGATTCGAAGAAGCGACCCCCTACGGCTAGCGATAAGATCAAGGTTCACCTTTCTTGCAATGCATGTTGCGTTATCCGCGTTCCTTTGTCGTTAATTAATTGAGTTTGAATTTTCGAAACGTTTGTAATAAACAGTCGTCAGCAAACGCGCTGGTGAATAATCTTATGCAGGCACAGCCATCATACATACGTACCATAAAACCCAATCAAAACAAGAGTCCCACCGAATACGATCAGAAGATGGTGCTGCATCAAATAAAGTATCTTGGTTTGAACGAAAACATCAGAGTCAGACGTGCGGGTTTCGCGTATAGGCAGACGTTTGAAAAGTTTTTAGAAAGGTAAATCCTAATTTTGCTCAAGATTTTTTCCTTTCTTGTTTTACCTTACCTTTTTTTTTTTAATTGTCATTCCCTTTTTCAGATTTTATTTGCTGTCAAAGAAGACGTCGTACGCGGGTGAATGTATTTGGCAGGGGGATCCAAAATCTGGTTCCGAACGTATCTTAAAAGACTGCAATATCGCATCCGAAGAATGGCAGATGGGAGTGACCAAAGTGTTCATTCGCCATCCCGAAACTGTCAGTTTTTTTCCTACCCATCATAATCGTGCGTGTTCGCCGACAGAGAATCATGCGTGTTTTAGTTTTAATGCTGACATTTTTCTTTTAGATTTGGGCGCTCGAACACCTACGGGACCGATACTGGCACAACATGGCTTTACGAATACAACGCGCCTACCGAAACTACGTCAGGTACAAAAATGAATGTGCCATTCGCATACAAAGATGCTGGAAGAAAAACAAAGATCAGATCATTTACGTGCAATTACGTGACTACGGCCATCGAATCTTGGATGCACGTAAGGAGAGGCGAAGATTTAGCTTATTGAGCATGAGAAAATTTATGGGTGACTATTTAAATGTTGGAACGGGCGGAGGTAGCGGAGAGGCTATTAGAAATGCCTGTACTCTTAAGCGTGAGTTTTCACATTCTTCCCCTTATGTTATGAACGATTTGGCAACAATTCACAAGTTCATCTGCCTCTCTTTTAGCAAGTGAAACGGTGGCATTCAGCAGTAAGATTCGACTTTTGGTCCCGCGCCTTGGTCGATCCAGCAAGCTGGATGCACGAATCTTGGTTTTGGTAGCTATTTTTTGAATGTCTATTTGTCCTTGTTTACTGCACATCTTCTTACCATCTTTCTATTGACGTTTTTAAAATCAAAATAGACAGATAGCGCCATATATATTGTAGTTACGCGAATCGATAAGAAACTTTTAACGATGGCCGTTGAAAGAACCATACCTCTGGTGTCAATAACAAAGGTCAGTCTATCAAATCTTCGAGATGATTGGGTAGTCATTCACATAAACAACCCAACAAAAGAGTCAGGAGACCATCTATTCTCGTGCTACTTTAAAACCGAGTTTTTGGTGCACCTATTGCAACGCACGAAAGTTGAAGTCAACATAACGTCAAACATCGAATACGCGAAAAAAATTGGAAAAACAGCAAACATTTCTTTTGCCAAGGATGAAAATGTCAAGAAAGACGACATGTACAAGAGTCATAAGGTGCTCGTGTCTACGGGCGAGCCGGCGAATAGTTTGTCAGACCCTCCGTGTTCGAGAAAGGAAGCTCCGTCGAAGCCCAAAGCCGGTGGTGCCAGTAAAAAGAATGTGAGAGCAAACGTAAAACCAGCATCTAAGGGGGCACCAATTGGTTCGGCAAAACCGAAAGCTCCTCAAACATCTTCAGTTTCGATACCTAGTTCCACGGAAAATCTTTCCCGAAAGGTGTCGATCACGAATAATCGTCCACCACCGCCACCCCCGTCGAGGAATCCAACGTATAAAGGAATTTACGATTTTGTAACGGAAGATCCTGGTGAGTTGTCATTCAGGAAAGACGAGATCTTAGAGATAACGGAGAAGGATGATAACGGGTGGTGGTTAGCGAAGAAAGACAACGAACAAGGGTGGGTACCTAGTAATTATTTGGAGGAGGTTAAGATAGCCGCGCCGAAACCCGCTCCCATTCCAGCAAAACGTAGACCACCTCCACCTCCGGCATCAACCCAACAGCAAAAACCTCAAGGGAGGGTGGCTCCGTCCAAAAATTCAAGGAAGGACGAAGAGGATGATGGCAACGGCGAATCGACAAATTATGCCGGTGGTAAAGCGAGGGGTGGATATGGAAATGAGAAAAGCGCACCGGTATCAGTTTTTCCGGGAATGGGATCCGGAGGATGGAAAGCTGCCTTGGAAGCTAAAAAGGCAGCCACAAAGGTGTGTACCAGATTGCATTCAATAGATCATGATTCTTTTTTTGAAAAGGAAATCGAATCTTGATTATGCTATTCTTAGGCGTCCGAAAACTTGAGTGTTGACGAAGAAACCGAACGCAAGTCCACGAGACGTACCTCAACCGATGGTAGTTTCTATATTTTCCGTCCTAATTTAATGCTAAGAATGAATATCAAAGAGTAATCGAATTTTTAATCAACAGGTCGCAAACCAGTGCCAGCCTACTCCAGACCTAATATTCCACCTAAACCTTCAGCATCTGGAGATAGGCCTGCAGCTCCGCCAAGACCTGGATCAAAGGTAATTATATATGCATATAAATGTGTGCGCGTAGCGTAATATACGTGTTGTTGTTTTTTTTTTTTCTTCCATGGTTAAACAAAAGATTCACCTTCATTAATCTTCATTTAGCCCGGGGCTCCACTCAGCACACAGCAAAGTCTTGCTGAAGCGGTAAGTACTTCGAAATTAATTAGCGAACACTTAATAATTCGAATTGAATTTATTTACGGATTTGCTTTAACGGCATGTCATACTGTAGCTTAAAGCGAGAAACCGGTCGACGATGGGTGATGAGGATGAGGATGAGGATGAGGAATGGGATTAATGACATGAATAATTTGTGGTATCCATTTTAACCTATCACTTCACTTTAGGATTTTTAATTATGCAAGGCATCGCTTTCCTAACCAACTGTCGTCCTTTTTTTATGTTCTGCTTTCGGAAGGAGAGATAAACCGGTTATCTATATAACTTGTCCACCTTGTGTTGTACTAGTATTAAAAATTCTTAATTAGATATTTTATTTTCTCAATAAATTATTGTCTATTCATTGCACTCTATTTCATAAATAAATACTTTAGAATTTTATTATTCCATTAACCTGTAGTGATTTTTGTTAACGACTGAAACTTACGACGATCGATGGTTCATTCGCAGATAATGGAGATGTGAAAAATAATAGAATTATTAGTTTAACTACAAACTAAGATAATTGTGTTGTGTTGCCAATTAAATTAATTATTTGTATTTTATTTCTTTTTTTTTTTTACATTGATTCGCGAATAAAACTTTATTACGCGAGCTATTTTTCTACTGAAAATTATTTTAGAATTATGGAGAAATAGTGCAGAAGTTCGAAAAATGTTTTCGATCTTGTTTTGCAAAATTCGATCTTGTTTTGCAAAATTCGAGGGTTCTAATTTTTGTTATTAAAAACTAAATTAAAATAAAATATAAGAATAAGAATATCTAAGAATATCTATGAAAAGTTTTGCGATTAAAAAAGCATTGTTAGATTAACATTTTTTTTTTTCAAAAAAAATGAAATCGACTTATAATTCCCCGGAAGCCTCCCTATCTCGAATCCTTCTTCCAAACGTTTTACCAATCTCGCTAGCCACCAATTGGATGACAAGACATATCGAAATTTTTGCCCATCCAAAACTTGAAATGGGAGTGAGCGTGAACCACTCCCTAACCCCTAATAGTAATCGCATAGTAATCGGTTAAATGTTGTGGATTTGTGGATCCCATAGAAAACGAATTCTCACCTGGCACATAGATACCAATTATCAGCGTGATGAACGATCCAATAACGCTGCCAATCATCCACTACAAAATTTCACAGACCGGACCGTTGAATACAACAAATTTGAACGCGTGCATTCATAAGACAAAAGTAATGATAATAAGAATGGCGAAGAACCTTATTTCCAAAAAAACTTGTCCTAAATACACTCTCATTTAACGTCCTGGACAGGAAACCTTGAAACAATTGCATGGTAGTCAACGTGGCAAATGCCAATGATCTGGAGTCTTCCAATGATATCTTCTCAACTTTTAGTGCGATCTCATACAGGCCAAATGTTGCCAGTGCCATCACAAACGTCTGCATGATGAGAATTGACGCCGTATATGCGTTTAGCACACCAGATCCTGGGTCGCGTGGTTTTCGTTTCATGAGATCACCTTCTGCCGGTTCAATGCCAAGCGATATTGCAGGTGGTACGTCAGCTGTAATAAATAGAATTAGGCATAAATCTTAATCGCCAATTTATGATGTATGGTAATTTAGACGCATACCAATGATGTTGGCAAACAGAATCATGATAGTTGTAAAAGGCAAGTCTACGTTGATGATTGCACAAAGCAACATCAGAACAATCTCGGCTCCATTACAACTTAGGAGATATACAATAAATTTGAGGATATTATCAAACACTTGTCGTCCTTCCTCGACCGCTGCCACTATAGTTGAGAAATCATCATCAGCAAGAACTATGTCTGCAGCTTGTTTGGTGATCTCAGTGCCGCTAATTCCCATCGCTACACCGACATCGGCGGCTTTAATCGCCGGTGCGTCTAGATGAAATAATTTGTTCGTTCATTTTGTATATATATAATGTATCTACGAAGGGAAATTCATCATGGAACCAATGAAATAAAGTATATCTACCGTTAACACCATCTCCGGTCATAGCAACCGAGTTACCGAGATTTTGTAAAGCTTCAACTATCTTCAGTTTATTGTCTGGGCTGAAAATATGTAAGCCACGTGTCAGGAAAGCATCACGTATTATGATATTAACGCGAAGAAAGTATGTTTATATTTGGTTTACCTGACTCGCGCAAAAACATTGGGGAACGGATCCAACTGCATGATGGCGTCTTCCGAAAGAAGATCGAGTTCGGCACCACGAATCACTCGGTTCTTAAAAAAAAAAAAAACTGTTAATTACATTGAAGGAATCGTTTGAGATTTAAATAAACATACCATGTGTGGTACTTCCGGTTCTATTATACCAATCTCAGTAGAAATCGCAGTTGCCGTGGCGGCATGATCACCAGTAATCATGAAGACACGAATTCCCGCTTCCTTACATCTTCGAACTGATTCCGCGACAGATTTCTTCGGTGGATCTATTAACCCAATCAATCCGACAAATGTTAAATCCTTTTCCGCAAACAGTGGGTTCGTTGATGGCGACTCGGGTGTAGTGTCTGTTTCCTCTGTACGACTCTCAACCTTTTCATCTGCATCAGAAGAGAAAAAGGGGAACTCCTTTTCGTAAGCTAATTTGAATGCCAACCCAAGAACCCTTAAACCTTGTGACGCCATTCTCGAGCTTTGCTCCGATACTTTGTCAACGAATTCATCTGTTAAGTCACATGGTTCGAAGCCCCCCTTCTCACCAAGAATCACATCAAACGGCACAACCTTTTCCGATTTCGTTACATTAGGTAGATAATGCGTGCACTTGCCGAGCAATTCTTCGGGAGCACCTTTAACCAAAACAAAATTTATTTGCTTGAAATGTTCCGACATGTTTTGATACACTACGCTCATAAGTTTACGTTCGCTGTCAAAGGGTTTCTCGTAAACTTTGGTAAAACCGCATTCTTTCTCCCAATAACTTTTTGAGAATCCTCCCTTTTGAGCTGCGAGCACCAAGGCTACCTGTGATATTCATAATTTCGTGTTGAAAAATTTTTGTGAATGATAATAAACATTTTAAACGAAAAGGATGCTAACCTCGGTCGGATCGCCTATTCCTTTCCACTCATTTTCCGTTTCATCTTTTTTTATGATCGAAGAATTATTACACAATGATGAAATCAACATTGCCGCTACCAAATGCGCCGGTGCATCCGTCGGATTCCGTAAAACTTCTTGGGGCTGGAATGTTAGGGAATCCGTCTTCTCAGTTTTCAATATCGAGTGCTGTGAGCGTGTTTTGAAAGTTCTCTGACGATAATAATCTCGAGGATAAGTCACTATCTTACCCTCGTTCGGATCCAAAGATGTTGGGTCAGTGAATGAGTAGATTGTGTCGTCGGCTGTCCAAAGTTCACTCGGTCCCATCTTCCCTTCGGTTAATGTGCCGGTCTTATCCGAGCAAATCACAGTTACGCTCCCCAACGTTTCTACAGTTGGCAAGGTTCTCACAATGGCATTACGTCTCGCCATACGACGAACACCTACAGCCATTGTCACTGTGGTTACCGCCACCAATCCTTCCGGAATGACCGACACTGCCAGACTGTTATTTTCTTCAATTTAATGTCACGAGAAGTGTAAGGGCAACATGAGAAGTGTATGTAGTATAGTATGACATACCTCATGCCAATAGAAATCATGTCCTTTGTACTATGTTTATACACGATTCCGATGATCACGACCAGAATGCATAGCAAAATCGCAAGTATGACGAGAAATTTTCCAAGCTTTGCCAATTTTCGTTGAATTGGTGTCGTGACCGGTTTGGCCGAAGATATGGCCGCGCTAATTTTGCCAATCTGTGTAACACAACCGAGAGAGACAAATGAATAAAGATAGTATTGACTAGAATGCTGATGAAGAAAGTCGTGTCAACATTTTCATGAGTACCTCGGTGTCACTGCCAGTTCTAACCACAAGTCCTTTACCTCGACCCTTGAAAACTACGGTTGACATAAATGCATTGCCTTTGCAATCACACAGTGGAAGCTTTCTCGTCTACTCAATTAACAGTTACAATTAACGTCCGCAAACGTAAAGATAAATAGATTCGATGTGGCGAATGCTTACCCTTGTCCAAATCTTTTTCACGTTTTTCGACACCGGAAGACTCTCGCCGGTAAGGGCTGACTCGATCACCTCGAGGTGCGAATTCTCTACAATTCTCACATCCGCAGGAACAGCCTCACCTTCTTCCAAGACAACGATATCGCCTGGAACAAGTTGAGATGAATCGATATCTACTTGTTGACCATCTCGAATTACTTTTGCCTTTTTTTGTGCATATTATTATTAGTAGTCACTTGACACGTGACTATAACCGGTGAAAATTTCACTTCACTCTTTCTGTCATTTACGATTTTGCATACCTTCGGAACCGATAGCTTTTGCAATGCCTCTAGGGCCTTGGTAGCTTTGTATTCTTGGGTAAATCCAATGATGGTGTTAAGTACGATGACGACAAGAAGTACGCTCATTCCTTTGAAATCAGATTCTGCCGCAGTAACAACTGTGGCGGCCAATAAAATTAAGACCATGAAATCCTTCAATTGGTTGAGTATCATGTTTAGAATAGACGGTTTGGGTGGTTCCGGAATTTTATTTGGACCGTAGTGGTCAAATAACAATTGGACACTTGAGGTGCTGAGTCCGTCGGATAAAGAGGTGCGAAACATTTTGAGCAAACGTGTGACGTCGCGATCAAAATACAATGCTAGAAGACGAAAGGTCATTAATTAAGATGAAATTGAACGGCTGACCAAAATGACGATGGTTACATGGAGGGGGGAGAGCAACACGTGGAGGCATGCTCGGGCTTTCTGATTTCTCAAATTCTTTTATCACTTTCTCGACATCACCCTGTTCGTCATCTTTCACCAATTCGCGCCAATCAGAAAAATGTGGAAACCATTCCGTTAGCATACGTATTATTCTAGCCGCGGCCCTTTTTACTTCTTGATCTGCATCCTTGCGGCACCTGCGATGGAGTTTCAATGCATGATAAAGATCTGACACATTCTTTTCGCCCACAGCCAGGCGAAATTCCTCCACTGATATTTAAGAATGGTATGTTAGAAGACAACGATGTTATGCACAAACAACGTGATACAACAAACCTTCTTCAAGGAATTCGCCGAACAAGATAAATGTCTGGTCGGCGGACGGCGTCATTTTTTTCTTGAGTAGGCCACCCTCTGTGGAAGACATGTTCAGCAATAGACCATCACACAGTCTTTTCATTAATTCATAGTTCAGGTTTTGCAGTCGTCCACCCTTGAGACGATAGTCCATGACATATCTCAAGCCAGCCAATACATCCTCAAGCGACAACTGCGAATTTTCCTTGACACCGAATAAATCATTCACTATTTTCATTTCCATTTTTTTTTTTTTTTTTTGGATGAATATGTAGGTCAGATTATATCTCGAGGATCACGTTAATGCGAACGGAAACGTTACCGTGGATATCAATTTGATGTTCGATGGAAGCTTGACCGTCACGAATTGACTGAAGCTCTAGAGTTAAAGATTGAGATCTGGACATTATGTGAACTGAAATGTTCAGGCAAATATATCTGAGCTGACCTTTATAGTTTTCCACATGTAATTTACCCGATCCGTTGGAATTCTCGGTGCGGCAAGGTGAATCCATTTAGTCACGAAAAAGTTTTAGACTTCCTAATCAGGTACTGATGTATGAGAAATCATTTCCTTGACCGAATTTGGCATGCCAATTCTACGCGTGATTGTAATATCTACGTAAGATCACGTGGTCGTTGGCATTCATTTATTACCAAATACTTACTGGACAATGAATGCCTTCAACCTAGTGCAATAGATAGAACTCTTTTGTCTTAGGAATAATACTGATTAAATGCTACTCTTATGTATGGTCAGAGTTTATTTCGGACTCTATAATTTGTCTAATTCCCAGAATTGTAACCCAGAACTTCGTTATGGATCCAAAGTTAAAGTATGACCGAAAATAGAAAATTTAGGTTACCGTCACGCAATTTCGTTCTAAAATTTCATGTGAATTCCCAAGATTTTTTTCTGATAAAAAAAAATAATTTGGATTGTCATAATGTGAGAAGTTATATTTGGTTTGAAAGAGTTAGGCAACAAATATAACATGCAGTTGCCATATAGATGTGTTGGCTCGTATGATATTGCGTATGCAAGGCATATACATATTATATTTTCTATAAAATAAAGTTTAGCGCTGACTAATGGGGCGTCATGCTAAATAAAATATAACGCATATGATACGGTCAGTGCTCGACGATTGTATAGAACCTCATTCGGCATATCTATATATATGCTATATACACTACATATTATTTTCAAATTAGTATGTATGCGTATACAAAATACTTTACTTTGATAAGAATTCTTCTTTTTTATTTTTTGTGATTCAGTTTTCAATGGATCAAGGCCTGGTCAACAGCTCGATGCGCAGTAAATTTAACAAATATAAGTTTTAAGAAAATTGATATCATTGATAGAATTTAATTAATTTGCAGTTATAATTTAAACTAATAGAATTGAATTTTATCTTAGAAAAATAAAACAAAAAATATAAATTAGTGTCGAAAATTGTTTTAGTAAACAAATGAAATTTTTTAAATAAGATATCGGTCGAATTTTATTGAACCTTTAATTTATTTGAGAAAATTTACGCAATTTTATAATAATAAAATTATTGTTGTTAACTTACAATTAGGCCAATGCGAATCGGTTTATTTATTTATTGTTATTTTTAAAATCTTGTATGTATACTATACTATAAAGTAAAACATTCATTAAATATAATTTACAAGCAATTCTTTTTTTTAATTTTAATTCTTTATTGACTTGAAAAATTATGTTGCTAGATTTTTGTCAACTATATAAAGCAGCAATAATACTGTATGTTATTGGACAATTTTATTTAATCAAGAATAAATGAACAAAAAATCGTAGTTTTTTTTATATATAAATCTAAAATAGTATAATGACGTATTAGCAATCAATTCGATCGTTCTTTGTTGAAATAACTGCTTCACATCTTGATTTTATAGACTTTATTAAACTTCTTAATATCTTTTTAGGAATTTGTATCCATTATTTGTGCATAAATTTATCCAAATTTTGTAGATTTCTTTCTCATATATATATATATATTAAATTTTCGTTCATATGATTTCTATTGAATTAATACTAGGACTGTTGAACTGTTATGTCAATTCATAATATCAAATGTATTTCTTCAAGAAATTCTTTACTTTGTGACTTTTATATTTAAAATTATTGTTTTACGGAAATTACAATCACTTATTATTATTATATTATTTTTGTTATTTTTAACTTCAAGTAGCTATTTTTTGAGATGTTAAATATAAAAATAATATCTAATATATCAATAAAGCAATAAAAATTTGTCTTTTTATTGATTAAAAAATTTATATCATGAATAAATTTTTTATCTATTTTAAGAAACAAGTTATTGTATTTGCGGGTTAAAAAAAAAAAAGAAAGAAAGAAACAAGTTATTGTATATCTGTTTATAATACAGTATTTATATTACCATATAATAATATTTGAAAATAACAAGAATAATATTTTATTTGAAAATAATGTTTAAAATCAATTATCTTAAAATATTTCTTTATTTATTTGATACTTTTATTTTTTACTTTATTATTAAAGATAAATCTATATATAAAAAAGAATTTTTATAATCAATTTCAATAGAACATTATTAAAACATACGTATATTTAATTATTATAATACTTTTTTAAAAAAGTTTTTTTACCAATATTAACTATAAAAACTATGAAATTTTATTATAAATATTTTTTATAATTTTTCAAAATATTACTATTAAATTTTTAAATTTTTTTATATTTAATTTATTTAAACTTTTTATATTTTATATACAGTATTATAAATATATTAGTTTAATTCTAAAAATTTTTATATCATATATATTAATATTTTATAAATATAAATTATTTTTAATAATATTTTTTTTATTTGACAGAAGTCACTTTAACACCATCTAGTATAATCGGTAAGCTGTGTCACAAGAGGAGGACAGACTTTAAGGAGGATATTTGGAACAGTCATTGCGCCAAGGTAATAAAGTGGGAAAAGAGACAGAATATTACCGAAGAGGACAAAAAAATCAGAAGACCCGGACACAGATCTAGAATACTGGTTATGCAAGAACAAGAAGAACCTACATTCTCAGAAGACCAGAAGCAAGAGGTTGTCAAAAGAAAGGAGGGAAAGACATATACAGAGATCATTAAGGATTGGGTTTGTCATGAAATCAAATGGTTCAGTTTTTAACTGCAGGCAGAATTTAGAATGATCTACAGTAATAATCTGTAGGCAATGATTTAATTGACTAGAGGATTTATTCAAGTCAGTTAAGGAGTGAAATATTATTCCCTAAGTTGCATTTAGAGAAATAGTTTTTCGACGACGGATGAGTTAGTATGTAAAAGTTAAAATATCTTTGTATATATACAATAAAGACATGTCATGCTAACCTGACTATGGGTTAAAAAAAAATAATAACAATAATATATTTTTTTTAAATTATCTTTTTAAAACAATTTTCTATATAAATATTTTTTAAAAATAAAATACAGATTTTTTTTTTTTTGAAATTTATTTGACAAATATATATTTTATTAAATTAATTTATTAATACATATTTCTAATTATATTAATAATTTAACTAATTATTTTTTTATATAACTTATACTTAATAGAAATATTAATTTTATCACAAATAATATTATTTTATTAGTTTTGCTTTGTTTTATTCAAATCTTATAATATTTTAAGAATTTATTATAGAACTTATATATTGTTCTTTAAAAAGTTTATTGAGTTATATTTTTTAAACTAGTTTTTTTTCTATTTTATTTTGGTATAAATTTTATAATAGATTATATTATGTTTAGTTCTTAAAAAGCTAGTTATATTCTTAATATATATATATTTAGTGATTATATATTGATATTCCAAAAATTTAATAATATATCAGTATAATTAATATTTTTTTTTTTGAGTATCTGTAGTTAGGCTAGATTGTCAGTTTATTAATCAATTGAAAATATAAGTACATTTTTATTCGAGCAGTATAATATATACTATAGCTAAACTATTATTCTAATATAACTAACTCATAATAAGCATAAAAATCTCTAAGTTCAGTCTTGAGGACAATATTTTGCTTTACAGTATTTTTGAGTGAAAATCCTTCTAGTCTACTGCATTATTGTTAGAAGATTGTTACTACTGTATATCTTATCAAGCCACTGGAATACAAAAGAATACAAAAAGATAGGTTGAAAAAAGGGAAAGAGTAATATTTAAAAATGTTTAAATAGATAACAAGAAAATAAAAAAGTAAAAATTTGAAAAAAAAGATTTTAAGTTTCTTTAAAGATCTGTTTTTAAGATCTTTTCTTAATAAAAAATACCAATTGAGATATTCTTTCTTTTCCTGATTATCTAAAGAACTTATCCATTTTTGATTTTAATTTTCTTCTTATATATCGTTTAAGAAGACTTATTATCTAGTAAAAGCCTTTACTTCCAAGATACATTTGGTTTCAACTTTCTTTGTGCAGTAATTTTTTATCCATCTATAATAGATAAGTGACTTATTATTGATCCCAGGTTCTTATATGATCTAGTAGGAACTAGAGTATATTGTTTTAGTATGATATCTTCCAGTAGCTATACCTAGTTAAAGAAATTTTACTAATATACATTTTTCATTACCCAAAAGATCAGATTCCTCAATATTTCTTTTATCTTGTAATAGTGGGAGGGTCTTGAAAGAGATGGGGATTCTTGTCGATTATAATATTCTTCAACAACTTTTGGCTAAATATATTTTTAACTGTAATCAAAGGATTGAAGTTTGACATAAACTAAAAACTATTTGATTTTATTGCTTGATCAGAATAAGAGAGAAACCTTGGTCTTGAACTTTGCCTAACTGGAATAATAGGAGAGAAAGATTTCAGCTTGAACAAATGACAGCTTTTTCATCATCTGGAGACTTGTTACTTATATCTTATTGATTTTATAGAACTTGATCTATAGATTAATCCAATTAGAGGAATGGGATGAATATTGAATATTAATTAACTCTTTCAATCATCAATAATATCATTAGAACATATAAAGTAATAAATAGGAGCTTGTTTACATTTAATTACTAATATGTTTCATATCAACCAATCAGATACCAGGTGACATTATATTACTAAAAATTCAGGATCAAACTGAGGTAAACAAAATTCTTCAAAAAAACTATGAAAAACAGTAGATACTTTAAGAAAGTATAAAACAGTATGTGATAAGATAGATAATAAGCCTTACCCTATCAACAGAATCTCTATTTCTTGTCACTTCCAGCTTTGTAAGGTGACACTCCACTTGTTAGTTTTTTTACTTTCTAGAATCTTTTTGCCTTTAGTAAAGGAAGTATGTTCTTGAGTCTTTTCAAGTTACTAGAGACTTAAGTTTTTATTCAA